TGAGGTTTAGGTGATAATGGCTGCCCATCTTTACCTTTTACATCTGACAGGGGGAATGCTAGTTGGTATGTTAGAACATTTCTCAAGTTGAGATCATTTTTTTTTCTTTTCAAGGGTGTTGTATTAGATGATTGTTATATGAATGGTTTTATCAAACAATTTAATTAATCATAATAAAAGTGCTGAATAACTTGAATTAGTACATTTTGCAATCTACTCTGTCTTAGCTGATGGAGGGTCTTCTCTCCATGGCCATATTGATGCAAGATGACAATGTGTTTTTGTTTGAGAACTTGTTGTGTTCAGTTTTATTGGTCTAAACTTAAACTATGAGTGTTGGATCTAATAGTTTTCTTTTATATATCTCGTGGTGAAATTCAATATGCTTTTTTTCATGATGTTTCTCCTTCATTATCTCTGCAGTCCACAAAAGTTAATATATATATATATATATATATATATATATATATATATATATATATATATATATATATATATATATATATATAGACGCAATATAAAAAAGCCTTTTTCTATTGTGTGCTTTTTATTTTATGTATGTCAAATTCCTAGTACTCTTGTTCTTTATGTCTATGAATCCATGGAAGTTCTCTGTCAATTCTTTCAACAGCATTAATTTTTACAGTATTAATTATTGAAGCTGAAAAACTAATTTTATCAAATTAAATTTATTAAGTATTGATACTTTCACTATTACCATATATGAAAGTGTAAGATATTGACTTGGAAATGATGCACATATTAGTTATGGGGTATAATAAAAAAAAGTATACTGCATTAAAAATTAAAATTGACACTCATTTTATTTTATAATGTTGCTCATTGTGGAACGAAATGAGTTTATACTATATATTATGTCATTAAAATAAATAAAAATACTTCCAGATGTGTTTTTTTCTTTTTGAAATTACTTTATGCAAATGTTTTTTTTTTAACTCTAAATTACTTTACTTATTTAAAAATTGTGCTCATGAATTGAATATTGATGTACCCGATGTAGTTAGTCGTTGCACATTCATAAATGTCTAAAAAATGGATAAGGTTTGGCTCCCATATAGAAAAACCACATTTAAATTATGGTTGTTCTTATGAAATTTTCTGGCATGTGGGGTGATGAAGTAAATCATGGCACCCCACCACAATTCAAAAAGTCTCTAAAGTGAATATTACAGATCACCTTAACATATGATGATTGATGATGCCTACCTAACAAGCAAAAGACTTTCTAGAAATTCATACTTTCAACAGGTATTAGGCAAATACAATACAAGAGCCTCCACTACTTGATGAGACTCACTTTTTATCTCATCATAATCCAAGATTGGTTCATTATGTAGATGAATGATTAAGTCATTAAATTTGTTGATCCTTCCCATCTTTCTTGAAATCACCTTTTGCTTCTTGTTCCATGCTTGTGTTGCTGCAAATCTTGTTTCTCTCTACTAGTTAGATCCATATTTTGTTTATATCATTATGTTAGTGAAAGATTTTCCCGAAGGATGTTGGGAATTAATATTCAGATTCCTTGGCCAAGGAAATGATTTGGAGTCTGTTTCTGTTGTCTGCAAGCAGTTCCTTTCTATTACAAACCGGATTAGAATTTCTCTAACAATACGTAATCCGACCATTATATTCCTTCCTCGGCTACTCTTGAGGTTTTTAAGGCTCAAAGTCATAGACCTCAGTCACTTCACTGGTGAATTAAAAGGCTTGCTTCATCAAATTTCACAATCTGGGCTGGACCTTGATTTTATTAATGTTTCCAACCAGAAAACACTTCCTGTGGATGGGTTGCGAGAACTTGGTTCAAAGATGATAAACTTAAGAGTTTTGATTTGCTGAAACATTGGTTCTCTTTGTGATAGCCATCTAATAATCATAGCTTACTGTTTCCCATTCCTTCAAGAGCTTGACATTAGCTTTCCATTGGACTCTGAAGTATCAGATTTTGGGATACTAAAGTTATCTACCATGCTTGAGAGTCTAAAGAAGATTGATCTTTCCGGCAATCACTTGGTTACTGATAAATCCCTTTTGTCTCTATGTCAGAATTGCAGATCATTAGAAGAAATTTCATTTTTCACATGTTTTAAGATAACACAATTTGGAATTGCTTCTGCATTCCGAATGAGACCATCTTTGGCTTCCATTTCCTTCAACATTGAAAAGAAAAGAATACACGGACCTGGTTTGACGCCCGTGCCCATTAACATGGATTTGATCGATTCACTCGCTTGTTTGAAAAGATTAAATGCTGTTGATTTGTCAAACTCTTTTATCTCAGACGAGTTTCTTATTTCACTTGCAAACAGTGCTGGTAATTTTCTGAAAAAGCTTATCCTCCATGATTGTTGCAACTTTACATTTTCAGGAATCTCTTATGTGTTGTCCAAATGTCAATATATTCAATGCCTAGATCTTCGAAAAGCCGACTTTCTTACGGATCAATGTATCAAGAAGTTATCTATGTTTCTTCTTAACTTGACCTCTATAAACCTTAGTGGGTGTTGCCAGCTGACAAACTCAACCTTTTTCATTCTCACGAAAAATTGCCAGTTACTCAATGAGATCAAAATGGAGAGAACATATATTGGGGTATATGGGGAGGAAGATTTCAATTCCATGACCGATTTTGTCATCAACCTTCAAGTGAAAGCGGTTTATTTCGGTGATAATGTTTTACTGAATGATGTAAGTTTATCAAAATTTTCTTCTATTTGTCATAATTTACAATTTCTCGACTTAAGTGCTTGTGAGGCCATCTCTGAAGAATGTGTTGTTGAGGTTATGGAGAGATGTAGTAAGATAAGGCATTTAAATCTCTGCTATACAGGAATTGAAAAGTTTCAGATAAACTTTGAAATTCCACAATTAGAGATGTTGAATTTGTCAGGGTTGAGAATTGAAGATGAAACATTGTTCATAATCTCGAAATTGTGCATTGGACTATTGTCTCTGGACATCCAAAATTGTTGCTATATCACAACTAAGGGTGTGAGGGAAGTAATAGAAAATTGCAGAGGATTGAAAGAGTTAAATTTAAAGAACTATCAATTGGTGGATAACGATTTTGTATTTATGCAAACTCTTACAAAGCCATCTTTGAGAACAATAATCACACCATCTGGTGTTGATGTTTATTACTGAATAGAAGTAGAAGAATTTGAATGTGGCATATATCACATCTTGTTTGTTATGTGTTGTATTTTTTAATAATGAAAGCCTTGTGTGTGTGGATTGCATTCTTGTGAGGAAAGAAGTTTCAAATGTTTCTCTCTGTATATGCTTGTTCATGTGTGTTCCATTAACTAAAAATTAGAGACTACAAATTTATACTATTTTATAAATATAGTTTCCAAATGGATAGTTACTAGACAAACAAAATATTTGCATGTTGTAGATTTAGTAGATGGTTACCTCAACTGTTGGAGGTACAAAGGCCAGAGACATTAAAAACCGCAGTGCATCTAAAATACAAGGAGTAAATATTTTAGGTTCACCCGGTTCTGTTTTTGAAGAAAACCGAACTGAACTAAATCAATCTTGTAGTGATTCATTAAGAATCGAATTGAGCTATCTTCTAGTTCATTGTTTATTTATTGACTTCTGTGTTTTCATTTTTAGTAAATTCTGTTATATTGGATGTTTAGACTTTGACATTGAAATAAAGAATACCCTAAGTATTTTTTTAATGGAATTAATTTCTCTAATCTCAAGTGATCTTAAGTGGGGGAGAAGTATCTTAAGAAATTTGAGTGTATTTTTAAATTCAAAAGAGTATTTTCGGACACATCATTTTTAAGTCAGATTACATTCTAACTGAGGTTCATCCTACTTTTTCGCCAAAATATAATTTAGAAAGAAATGTATATTCGGACATGCTATTAAGGTTTTTTTTTTAATTTAACCACTCAATAACAACTGTGCTTAGGAACCAATTCAACATTGTGCAAGGGTTAAGGCTGCTAATACATTTTATCATTGGATTTCATCTTGTTCTTGACAAAATTAAAACTAATCCGTCGCTCATATCAAAGCAAAATATAAAAAAATAGTTGGTCAATAACTTTCTAAAATCAATATTAAACAAAGCATAATTTCACAACAAAGACAACAAGAAATATAAACATTATCCCTGGCATGGTAAGATATTCATCAACAGAAAGATGTCGATTCTCAATTTCCATGGAACTTTCTTGACAATTAGAAGGCATGCATTGGCAAACCATCAATTTTATTAAGAACCATGTTGTTGCCTATAAGGTTGACCAGGGGTTTCCTTCAGTCAAGCACACATCCTAACTTCTAATCAAGAAAATCAAAACCAGGCCGGCAGGTTGGTCTGGCGACCAGACCTGAGTCTTGTTCGGAAGACCCTACAAACCGGTATACCATAAAACCAATAATCAATTGTAAAATCGAGCAAGAAAAATTATAACGATGTCGTTTGGGTCTGATTCTGATCCCAACCTGATTTTTGAATCAGTGAGCACATTGGTTTAATGGCTGCTCTGATTTTGATTATCTTTCTTCTAATCTTGTAAGTGTAATAAGATCCACACACCAATGGGCATGAATAAGCATCAGAGAATATTTTCTCAAGTGTCTATGGTAAACTCAGAGAAGTAACAGCATAGAATAGTGAGCTACAGCAAGCAAGCAAAACCTAAGTTGCCGATGAGGATTGCAATCCGTATGACACAAGAATCAAATCCAGGAGATACAATTCAAGGGAGAGCTAAGAAAAACAATGCAACTTGTAGCTATGTATAACACCTAAATAGTTGCATAACATTGTCCATTATTTTTTTAAAGATTTCCGTACACAATTACAAGGAAATTATGATGCACAAAGTGATAATTAAATACAACAGATCTAAGTTAGCATTTTCAAAGAAAAAAACTAGAAGAAGTAACTCATAAAACATAAAATATCTTACTTTTTAGAGGCCAAACTTCAGCAAAGCATTTCCAACGATTTAGCATACAAGACACCCATGACGCAAGAAGAGTTTCCTCTTGCTTTCACTACAAGGAAAATAAGGCGGAGCTGTTATTTTTCTCAATGAAGGCCTTATAAATACCATCGAGTCGACAACATCAGCAGCCACTTTACGACATTCCTTTAAATTTATTTCTCTCAGTTGTGTGCAGCTTTCTACGACTTTCCTCACTCCCTTCTCTGTGATACCACAACAACCTCCTAAGTCAAGTTGCAGTAGCCCAAAGCAACTCTTTGAGATCGCATAGAGTGATGTATCATCAATTCCACACTCTGACAAGTTCAACACTTCCAGTGAAGAAAGTTTAAAGTTCATTCTAAGTATCTCCAGTCCAACACAGTTGGTTAAGTTCAAATATCTAATCTTACTACATTTCCTTAAAATATGACCAATACCTTCTTCAGATATGCCCCAACAATCCCTCAAATCGAAGAGTTGTAACTTAGGGAGAACGGAAGCAAACATATAGATGTGTTCATCCCTCAACCATCTGTTGTGAGCTAAATAGAGAGACTTTAATTGAGAGTTTACAACAGGATTAATCAAGGTATTGTAGCTCTCTTCACTAACTTTCCCAAGATCTGTGTATTCCATTCTGACCTCACTATGTGAAGCACAGTTCCTAAGGAGTGAAAATAGTTTTGGTTTTGGTTTCTAATTATTCCAAAACCACTGAAATATAATTTAACCACTGAAAATAGTATGGATCCTTTCCCTCCGTCCGTTATTATTTATAGTTTTGGTTTCTAATTATTCCAATTCTCACTTTGGTGCATGCAGATCTTATGCCTTAGCTCCTGTTTACGAAGCTGCCACAAGGCCCATTGAAGAAGGCACTCAAGCCAACACGATAAAAGCTGAACCAGATGATAATGATAGCAAAGAAGTAATTCTTCCCGGAGTAAATCTTCTTTTTGATGGTTCTGAGTTGCACCCGTTTGACATAGGTGCCTGCCTCCAGGCACGTCAACCTATTTCCTTAATAGCAGAAGCAGCAGCTGCCTCAGCATCTTTAGTAATCAAATAGTTCTACAGTTGCTATAGACTAGAGCATTGTGATATCTCTACATGCATGGCAATGGTAGGGATTGCTAGGGCTAGTTTGTTTTCATCTTCAAGCTTGTTGGGTTCAGATGGAAGGTTAGTTTCATTTTTTGCTTGCATATATTTTACATGTTGTCTCACCATTTTAATGATTGTAAAATGCATTCAATGTTCAACCTTCCAAGTATGCCACAGATTTATCACTGTTGTTCTTGAGGCTTATTGGCCCTGGTTTTCTATTTGAAACAAGGATGAATGAAGTGATGCCCTACTAACAGCCTGCTGAAACCTACTAACAGCCCAAGCATCATGAAACTTAACACTTCAAACCGCTAACAGTTAAAACATACATCTGAACCACATTCCATGACAGTTCAAACTAATTTCAAAATACACAGTAGAAAAATTAGCACACTAACTCTGAAGAAAAGACTAAATGTTTCTGTCATGACTTGACTCACCTCATTCGCCATTCTCACTTCATTATTTTAAACTCATAACAGAGCTTTGAATCTTACCATTCCATTGTCGGCTCCGACTCCATCGTTGGCTCCGACTCCCTCAGTTGCTTCGACTCCATCACCTGCTCCGAATCCATTGCCAGTGCGGGCTGCACCGATCCCGCTGACTGCACCCATTTTGCGGACTGCGCCTGTGCCGCAGGCTGTATCACCATTGCAGACTACATTGTCATCTGCACCTAATCATGCCTCTACCTCTGAGGTATTTAGGTTTATGCAGACTACATTGTCATCTACCAGTTGGAGTCATGAGGTCAGTGAAAGCTTAAAACCTGTTATGTTATTGGATCAGTTAAATGCTAGCTGGTGATAATGTGTTATTTAATTTGGAACTTAATATGTGAATTTAGAAACTAATCTAAGTATGGTGTTAGTTGTGTTGAATGTTGAAATGTGAATTGGCTAGTAAGTTTGGATTGGTGAAATTTATTACTGCGTCTGCATATAAAGGTTAAACTGTTATAACTATGAATTAACTTTTAGTTTAAAACCTATTAGGAATTAGTGCTACATGTTGAATGTTAGTTGGGCTTGATTGTTAAACAACATTGGGTTATTTTGTGTGAAAACTAGCTGATGCGAAAACAGGTTAGAGTTAGTTTTGGATGAAAAGATACTATGAGTCAAGTTATGTGTTACAAACTGTGATGCACATTATATATATAACAGAAGAATAGTCTTGGTACTTTCCTAAGTAGTCAAGTATGTGTTACAAACTGTGATGCACATTATATATATATGACAGAAGTTGTATGCTTGGGAAACCAGCTTTAAGAATTCTATAGAAGTATTAAGAAATGAAGAGCTTAAATGGTTGTCCGCAGTGCAATTGAGAAGGGCATACAACTCATTTCTCTTTTGGTCATCACTTGGTTTGGTCTCGGCTGCTACGTTTGGAGCGTGTTATTTTCTTAATGTTCCTTTGCATGCGAATAATGTTTTCACTTTCGTGGCAACATTACGCCTTGTTCAAGATTCGATTAGATCCATTCCCGATGTTATTGGGGTGGTCATTCAGGCAAAAGTTGCATTCACTCGGATTTCAAAATTCCTCGAGGCACCTGAACTACAGAGTGAAAGTGTTAGGAATAGATTATCTGATGGCAATATAAGGGAATCAATTTCAATCAAGTCTGCTGAATTTTCATGGGAAGATAGTAATGTAACAAAGTCAACTTTGAGAAATATAAACTTGGAAGTCAGCTCTGGACAAAAGGTCGCGATTTGTGGAGAGATTGGCTCAGGGATGGCTGCTAATATTGGTCAGATATTGCAAAACTCGTGGATGGCTGCTAATATTGACAATCCTAAAGTCAGCACTCTGAGATTGATTCTAGTTACTTCAACAGTGTTCTTATTCATGAGAAGTCTTCTTACAGTTGCTCTAGGTCTTCATTCTTCGAAGTCTTTGTTTTTACAGCTACTAAACTCCCTTTTTCGTGCACCTATGTCGTTTTATGATTCCACACCTTTGGGACGGATACTCAGTAGGGTTAGCATGCTAAACATTATTTATTTTCTGTTTTTCATCGAAGTTTAACGCAATGAAAGGGAACACAAATACTTATGTTTTGACTGTTATTTGGTTGTTTAGGTCTCTTCTGATCTTAGCATTGTTGATCTTGATGTTCCATTTGGCATTCTTGTTGTTGTGGTAGCTACTACGATTTGTTATACAAATCTAACTGTTTTAGCAGTAGTTACTTGGCAAGTCTTGTTTGTCTCCATACCGATGATTTATTTTGTACTGCGCTTGCAGGTAATAAACACATTATCTGAATTGAATTGTAGTGATGATTTGGTGTTCTATTTTAACATTAATACATTCTAGTAATCTTTCATAGATTTAAAATGTGCTTGTTGATAAGTCTAACTATTTTTTTTCATGCAGAGATACTACTTTGCTACAGCAAAAGAACTGATGCGGATAAATGGCACAACAAAATCCTTTATAGCTAATCATTTTGCAGAATCTGTTGCTGGAGCTGTGACAATAAGGTTTAGAGTTGAAAAAGTTACGTTGAATTCGGATCCCTTCTGAATTTTGAATGGGTTCATATAGAAGTGCATTTTCGAAATAGTTTAGAGTTTATTTTAAACTGCTTTTTTTTATGTGATATAAATGTATTTAGATACAAATGTAAAATTTAAAATGATTTATTTAATTATAAAATAAATGTCTATTAATCATAAATTATTATATATAAATTCAGACCGAATAAACTTCTCTTACGTATATATGCGTGTATTTTTTATATTATTATATAAAAATGTATATCTAACAATTATAAAATGTATATCAATGTTAAATCATTACATATTTAATATAAGTGTTTGTTTATTTTAACAATAAATTGTTTGAAATTTTTTTAATATTTTTAAAAACTTAAAATTATATGATATTTTATAATTGATATATTTAATATTAAAAAAAGTGTGGGACACGAGCACAAGTACTTACATATCCATAGACCACGGATACAAGTACTAACTTTGATACCCAAGTGGATATGGACTTAAACACGGAGATTTTTTTCAAATCATAGATATGAGAATAGATACTGTATCCTACCTAAATCGAGCATTGCCATTCCAAATCAAATTTGAAATTGAGTGAATTAGACCATTTAACATGCATATAAATATAGAAAAATGAAAACCAACAAGTAACTAAAAGATGTGAGACATAACCCATTTCCAAATATGCATAGTCAAAAATGGATCCCCAACATAACCAACACCTACACATTTACAATGTTAAATCATTTCAAATAAAGCACAAGAAAAGCTGCAGGTTGATTCCTACGCAGACCTGCCAACTCTAAATTACATTATCATATGATTGTAATTTCATAAGTCAAAACTAAAAGCCGCAACTCATTAGAAGTTGGAACCTTACAAAGTAGTAATAGTAGTTCTAAACAAAGAGCTTAAATAATAAATATCTATACTACTACCGAGTATCATATGAAAGAATAAATATCTATACTACTACCGAGTATCATATGAAGTAAGCTTTTAGTTTCTCATTATTAAAGAATTACATAAAAACTTGAACAATTATAAAAAAAGTATTTATGATCATAAACATAACTTTTTTGAAGTAATTTCTTAAATAAGTGAATTTAAAAACAGAAAACATCTTACATTTAAGAGTTGAGAACTGTTTCATAATACTAGCAAAGAAGACATCCATGACTGTAGCGTTCCATCTTTCCACAATTGAAGCGATATCGAGGTGGAACAATAATCTTTTTCAAAGTTGGCCTTGAAAATATCATTGAAGCAACAACCTTAGGATGAACTTTGTCGCAGCTTGTCAAATTAATCTCTCTTAATTGTAGGCAGTTTTCGACCACATGCTTTGGTCCCGAATTCGAGACATAATAACAATGTTCAAGTGAGAGTTGCAAAAGCCCGCGGCAACTCTTTGAGATGATATAGAGTTGTGCATTATTAACTCTCGTACATGACAAGTTTAACACCTCCAATTTTGGAGCTTCAAAGTTCATTCCAAGGAACTTCACATTTAAACAGTGGGATAAGTTCAAATACCTAATTTTACGACATTTCTTTAGTACTTGACAAATACCTTGAGATATATTATCGCAATAACTTAAATCAAGTTGTTGCAGATTGGGGAAAATGGAAGCAAATATTGTAACGCTTTCATCAGTTAGCCATTTATTGCCAGCCAAACATAGAGTCTCTAATTGAGGGCTTAGAACCATTAAAGAATTAGAATTATCCGCGCTCCTTTTCCACCAATATGTATATGGGTATTCCATTTTGATATTGCTAAGTGAAGGACAGCTCCTAAGGATGGCAAACAAATTTGAGCAATTGTCTGTTTTATTGGTAAAATGTAAAGATCTAAAATTTGGTCTCTCACGGAGAGCAGAAACAATACCAGCATTGGTGATGTTAAGACAACCATATATGATCGCCTCTTGAAGAAACTTGCAGTTGTAGAACAAGTGGAAAAGACATTCGTCGGTCATGTATCGATGACCAGTGAGATTAATCTTG